TCCATCGAAGTTAATAATAGCGAATTTAAATGCCTACTCAGTTTTAGGTCATCTTACTGAACCGTTACATCCGACTGTGCCTAAATATATAAAGATTACAAAGGCTGACGCCGCCATGAGTTCCTTTGACCTTTATATGCTTATTCTTTAAATGAAGGTTAGGAGTATATCTGACCAGTCTACCTTCCACAACTTAACTCGAAGTTCGTTCATCATTTTGAACGACAGTATAAAAGCATACTCTCTACTCTAACGTTCTAAACTACTTCCTTCTAACGACATATACCGCACCAATTCTGTGCCTAAGTTATACATACGCTAAAAATCAAACGTCGACGGGCACCCCTGAAGAAATATTAGAAATCAGTATGATGACGAAGTGTGGTTGAGCTTCCATATTTACATACAGATGTGGCAACCGAGTTTTGGCTTGTTTCATTGGCGGAATCTTTCTGAAGGTTAATATTATTTGAGAAATAAGATCTGCATTAGTTCGTGATATCTCATTGAATTTGCATAGAGAAAAACATCGGTAGTTATATCTGTTCACGTATAACGGGTCCATTTGGCCGCTTAGACGAGCGCTAACTTCACAAATATCACATCAGAGCACACGAGCTGGCCATACGTGTTTAGACGATCATGAAATCTGGCCTTTTCGCAAGGAGCAATTGCCATCAAGCCAGTAACTCTAAAGACACTTTTGATTTGAAAGGGCGTTTGCAGTTGCAATGTATGCGCTTGGTAATAGCACGATATCCTCAAACGGTCCTTGACAGAACTCGGATGCGAGCTTCGAGAGTTTCTTCATCGGATGCATACCGAATAAGCGTTCATCGTTGATTAGATTACAGAGTATGTTAACCCCGCTGAACCTTGAAAATCAGGCATGAGCCCTCACAGAAAGTCGCATAACGACCAGTGACGACGCAGAACGTGGTACCGGCGATGAAGAGGGGAGACCGTAGCAGCCATTTTTGGCGTATAAGTCGTCACGAGGTAGTTATATAAGTATGTGCATGCATGGACATGTACTTAAAACAGAAATCACAAGAAAACTAGTTAGACACAAATCAAGGTTTTTAGGTATAGACGTTTACTGTGCAGAATTCAGAGTGGGTTTCCCCACTATTCGCTAGACAACATCAGGGGCAATTTTCACAAATAGGCGAGTTCACCAGGTGGTGGTCTGGGGTCGTAATTACGGTAACACGTTTATGACTCCTTGCTGTCTTACGCGTTTACGCAAAGTATCCATTTTGGGAGAATGGCTTGAAAAGATGTTTTATGTCTGCCCGATTAATTTAGCCATCGAAACAGTGAGTTTCAGCCCGATCTAATGGGCTGTTTACAGTACTACGTACGACTACTAACTGTTTGTCCATGTTCGAGGAGACCAAGGGATGAAAGTTGTCCGTCAGGCCCATTTTTCCAGTATATTAATCTAATGGAACAGTGGAGCTAAGAGTATTGTGGGTTATTTGTGAAGGATTTTTTGGCAACAACAAGTTAGTCATTTACGTGGCGCAGTTACGATTTCAGATAAACTTTGAAGGAACCGTGGCCTCTCATTTTTGCATTACAGTTTCCACCAGAAAGCCGGATAATGCTAAACTTGTAGGAGAATCTGTCGTTAGTCGTGTACATGAACACCAGTTACAGGCAGGGAGATGGGACCACTTATCCCAAGTGGCCATGCACACGTCAACTCGACCGTTGCGAACGACCATGTGTACCGTGTGTTGCATAGCACAAAGGGCACAGGAACGGTGACCTACGCGCGAATTAGTTTGTAGTATTAGCATACTTACACAGTACCT